TCTTGTGTTCGTCACGCAAGTGCATGCGGTTCAGACTTGAGAGCATGTTCCAATCCTTACCATGAGCTCTGGACTCTGAACAGCTATCCTGCGAGCAACAGCTAATCCACAATGCAAAGTGGAAATTCACAGTCCAGCTACCCTTCCACCCCAGTGAACCCCCCGTATCACTCATCTATCCCATACTGGAGTTGCATCTCCAACGATACCTTCAGAAACTCGGCCAGCTAGAGCAGGCAGAGTGATTGGAACGTCATCTTTTATTATCCTTTTAAAAAAGGAAAAAACTTCATATATAATTTTTTTTGTTTTTATATTTAAATATAAAAATACTACCTCACTCTGTGTTATGAGCAGATACCATGGCTTCCAGTGACAGAGTAGGGAGAAATTCTGCTAAGAGCTCTCACATTTAGCTAGGACAATAAAATGTCCAGAACATGGCCGGGGGGGAGGAATGAGAAGGGAATTCATCATAACTGCCTTACTCCCTTCTGAATAACCCTAACTTTTTGAGAACAAGGTCTATGGAGAGCTTATCATGCAGGTTAATAACATATGAATGCAACTATTGGGCAAACCCTCCATCTTCCCATCACCCATTGCACCATCTGTCCCTGGAAGCCACTGGATCCTGCCAGACATACAGAAGAATTAGATGAAACAGTGGTTAAAATTCTCTCTAACCTTCTCTTCCTCCTGTTTTCTGAAGCATCAACAACAAATAGACACTGAAAAACTAAACTCTCCTTCCCCCCACAAGACAACAAGAGTTATTCGGACACAAACATGGTAACTCATGCCCTCAAAATTACATCTAGGAGGGAAGTTTAAAGGTTGGGGATAGGGGAAGGTGTTGTCTGTTGGGAGCAGTTCATCTAGTTCTTGTACTCAAAAGGCTCATCCCCAGTCTCATTGAGGAGACATGTACGGACTAGTGCCTCTGTCACAGCATAAGGGTCACAATTGGCAGAAGGTCGGCGGTCCTCAAAATAGCCTTTCTTCACTTGGCCCACACTCCTGGGGATACGGATGCTGGCACCACGGTTGGCCACACCAGCTGAGAACTCATGGATGCTGGATGTTTCATGGAAGCCTGTAAGGCGCCTAGCATTGTCCAGCCCCCCTTTCGGGTCATAAGTGCGGATGTGGTACTGGTGCCGTTTGCCCAGCTTCTCAATGGCTTCCTCAATATACCTGGAGAGAAAGAAGGTGGAACACTGAGCACCTGAGAAACAACAACACCTGGACTATCCTTTGCTTCATCCTCGAGAATGTAAGCAGCCCCCCACAAACCAACCCTGGGTCTCATCCCTTCCAGTTGTGACACATACTAGTCATGGGCCTCCTCCTCACTGCTAATGGGTTAGTGGATTCACTTTCCCTGAGCTCCACTTTCTGTGATCATTTCATGACAGTCTATAGTGAAGCAGTAATTTTCCCTCCTTTCATTTAACACCAGATGAACTCCTAAAAACAGTCTGATCATGGACATGCTTCCAGAACTAGCTGATCCAATGTGCTAGTGCTGGAGGAAAGGTAGCAGTTTTATACCACTACTCGGAGAATCTCTCATTCTTTAGTATAAATACAGTCTTTGGGTACCATCACAACTACACTGAGTGCTGGTTACTGGTGCACAGTACCAGCAAGATCTACTCTCCCTGGGTATTCAAGCTAAACTCTTGCATGGTGCCAGATATGTAGCTGGCAACTTGAGTAGGGCCTTAAGTGCAGTCTTAGCTGTACAGAAACCTTGCTACTACTGATTTAATCCACTTCCCCCTAGCTGAGCTTTCCAGAGTAATGCAACTATCCCAGCTGAGGAGATACTTACTTGAGACCGCCTTCTTCCCTCATGGACTTAGTGCTGAAGTTAGTGTGACAACCAGCTCCATTCCAATTCCCAGGGATGGGCTTGGGATCAAAGGACACAATCACCCCAAAATCTTCACACACCCGATGGAGGATGAAGCGTGCAATCCAAAGGTGATCTCCCATCTCAATCCCTTCGCATGGGCCCACCTGGAACTCCCACTACAGAGGGCAAACAAAAAGGAAACCGATAGCTCAAATCAGGTGAAAAATCATTCTCTGCAGGATGCTGTTCATCCTTCTGCCCCTCTGAGGAATTTGTAAAACCCCAAGGTACAAATTGAATGTAGTGGCAGGGTCCCACAGCACAATCTTCTGCTCTGATACGTTTTGGTCCGGACCTTCATATGCCAGGAGGTGGGTGGAAATTAAGTTAATTACCTGTGCTGGCATCACCTCCGCGTTCGTCCCTCCAATTTTAACCCCAGCATAGAGACATGCTCGGTAATGGGCTTCCACAATGTCTCTGCCGTAGGCTTTGTCTGCCCCAACTCCACAGTAATATGGGCCTGCAATGACACAGGACAAGATTTTTCAAACCATTTATGACACTTGAGTGTAGTATGCTCTCTGCTCTTCACTGAAGATGGCATGGGGTTTCTGGGAAACCCCATCAATTGGTCCTTGTATTGTTACTCCAAATGAACCAGGTGCCTGAGAAGCACAGGTCGCATTGAAAGCCAACAGGCTGTTACTACTAATTCAGGCACTTCAAAAACCCCACTTGTCATACTCAACTCTATTGAATTTGCAGTGCATTTAAATCACCGGATATTTTTTAATTAAATGCATTTTAATGACTATACCATGATCTTAAAAACGTCGTTGTTTAGTTACAGTGCTTCAAATTTTAGCTTTCAGTGACCCACAATTTTAAGAAGTCCTTGACTAATTCACTTCACATGAAACATTTTAGCCATCTCCCAGAGCTTCGTGACTGATAAGGCTATAATTTGAGGTTAACTGTTCATGGATGATTTGGACATTAAACAGCCAGAGGCTTACCCTGAGGCCCAGGGAAGCCATTGGAGGGCCAGCCAAACGGATGTCCATCTGTCCCCAGGAGAGTGTATTCTTGCTCCATCCCAAACCAGGGGAGCTGGTTGGATACCATATCCATAATCCGTTTACAGGTGTGTCTTAGATTTGTCTCTAGAGCAAAAGAAAAGCACCATGCTCATTAGCTTACTATTCTGCTAACAAGCATCCTGTTACTGAAAAGAGATTCTAAAACAGTTCTTATGGTAGAAACTTTCAGACAAGCCACTCAAAGCCATACAGGCTCTCTGGGAGGACTCAGTTTACACCCCAGCCTTCTTTCTACAGTGGCTGAGAAATCTGGATTCAGAAATTCAGATTCAGACAGTTATTTTACTCTGTGGCCTGTCCCCATCATCACTAGCTAGATTAAGATCCAAATACCAGGTAGGACCACTGGCCTGCATTGCTGCTATAGTGCTCAATGCTCTCTTATGCCTTTATTTGCAATGTTCAGTACTGTTACTTGCCAGAATTTGGGTAAGGAGACTTAACATAGGCACAGAACTCGTCTGACAAGGCTTACATATTGGATTTCAGGAGGCTTTGTTCCCTTGTGTTCAAATTATCACCTCTGCCAGCAGCCCCAAATCTTTTCCTTCCCCCACTCCATTCCTTGAAACTTCTTCCATGTTCTCCCCTCCTCATAAAATACTTTCCCAGTTCCCACATCCCTCCCTATACTCGTGTCCCTCCTGTAGAAGACTCCCTTGTCTCCCCAGCACACATCACATGGACTCGTGTCACTTCTTTCCATCCCAGAGCTGCCAATGAGGAGTTTACAGAAAAACCATGTTTCCTCTCGGCCGGTCACACCTCATGTTGTTTGCCCTATATTTAAGCTCTTCAGGGCAAGGATATTCATAAGTCTTGTACAATATTAAGGTATTAATGGCGCTTGTATACATCTTCCATTAACTATGCCTGTGACAGTTAATCCACTTCCCAGCTTTCTCTACTCCAAGGTGGCAGACTGTTCTTCGCCCTTCCCGCAACTATTGCAGCAGGGGAGAGGGAAGATGTACCCTACCTGCTGTCTGGCGGTTGTACTTGAAGACCTCACAGAGAACCAGCTTGTTGGGGTCCTTTCGGAAGGGGTCACGGAACATGGCGGCAGGCTGTAGGTACATATCACTGTTTGAGCCTTCAGACTGAAAGGTACTAGACCCATCAAAGTTCCACTCTGGTAGATCTGGAGCAGGACAGAGAAGTACATCACTGGATTAGCACCATCTTCTTGGATTAACAATTTTCCATAACCCAAGAGGTGAGCCTACCAATTAATTTGGAGGTGGGGGAGGAAAAAAAAAAAACACAGAGGAGGGAGAGGATGCACCTTAAAAGCATTGGCACTTCTTTTTTTTTTGGTTGCCGATTTTGTTTCAAATGAAAAATGGTGTTTTCATAGGGTATCTCCAGCAGCCCAAGAAGCTGAAGGTATGCAGAGCCCTGTTTAGCCAGTAGCACTGCAAGCTGCCTTGGCACAGACTTTCCCTACTTTGCAGGTAAGTCAAACACCCAGACATTTTTCTATTGAGTCTGGAATTCTGGCCAAAAGAAGGGAAGGCCTAAGAGTCATTAAGTCACAGGTAAAAGTAAAGGGGGGAGCCCAGTGTCCTCACAGATGTTTCCGAGTGGTAGGTGGCCCTTGCAATGCAGCCATAAAGAAGCTCTTCCATATGGGGCACAGCCATGAAGTCAGTGGAGAGAACTCTTTATGAGCTAGTACAAGGCCATGCAATGCATCCACCGGACAGTCCAATGCTGTTTGTGGGAGAACACTTCTTCTTCACCTCACCTTGTCCTCTCCCTCCCTCTCCCACTACTGAATTTGTTTTTGGGGGTGTATGTGCTATGAAGGTGTTAACACCACCCAGTCTGTTATCTCTTTCCTACGTTGGAAGTCAAGAGGATTTAAGCAAGCTTTGCCAGCCACTTCCTTGGAAGGGAAAAAAGCTCCAATTATGAAATGAAAACAGCGGGCATGACCAATTAGTGTCTGGCCAACACCATGGCAACAAGTGAAGAAATCCTAATGCTATTAATACTGTGCAAGTAGGGACTGTTTGTTCGGACTGACACAAGCCCTTAATGACACCACATAAGTTCTAGTCTTTGCTTCGCTTCCTTCTTGCAAACCACATCCTATTAAAATAAAAGCTTTACCGCTGATGAGTAAGCAAGCAATGAGTCTCCTACAGACAGGCACTGCTCTGTAGCAGTGCTTCTGCTTACACTTCAGCCTGGGAACATAAAAGGAGTCTTCTGCATCTTTCTCTCCCACTCCCTCTTCTTGTCCCTCTTTTCAAATTCATTCACTGGGGGAGAAGTGGGAGATATCCCATCACGTATTTCTACTCTTGACAGAAGTTTATAAAGCAAGGCATCAGATGCACTATCCTTTTCAGCTGGTAGGAAATGCCACCCCTTGCTCCTTAAAGAGGAGGACCTTTACCTTTTTTCGGCAAAGAACTTGTCACACAAGTTACCATTCCCCCAAAAAGGCCAGATGGCCCTTACTGCTATGATCCAATCCCACAGATGGAGGCTGACTACTACACAGTACTTGTAAGCCCAACACCCTGTTCTCCTCAGCTGGACTGGTATGGGGTCCATCCCACACCCGTCTTCTTACCTTCAATGCTCTTTGGTTCATGGTCCAATGTCCGGGTTTTACAGCGCAAGTGCTCTCCAGTCCCATCAATCCAGATGTACATAGCTTGCACTTTCTCGCCCTGGGGCAGCTTCATGTACATGTTCTTTATAGCTTTGCTCAGGTGGGAACTTGCTGAGGTGGCCATAGTGACAGAGTGTGTTACAAGAGTCCTGCAAGGAGGAATGGAAAATCCAACTATGACCATTGTCTGTGTTCAAAAGGGGCTCACACATCTTCAGACTACCCAACCAGTAGAGTTTTGGTGCTGAACAACAGAATAAAGTTTTTTCCTGGGTTGCCCCTATCCAGTTATACCATGGTATCATGGTCTCACAGCTGAGTATCTGGCTTTCTACATACAAAGGGAACATGGTAGGTTCCTTTCTAGGATACAGGGATGTGTCTATCAATACAACGGTAGTGAAGGGATACAATTTGGGACACAGTAGGTCTACAAAGCATCGGGTTACTTTCTATTTCCTACCCTGGAAGTAGAATTAGCTCAGCCTTCTCTGTTTCCAGCTTCTATTAAGGTTCACTGAGGAGCAGACCTCAAGACAGCTCATTAGCTTCAACATGAATGTTATATTTTACAAACACTGAAGAAGTCAAGCTAAGGTGTTTCATTCTTCATTGCTCTGAAGGAGCATTGCTACTCAAGTTGTGGATGACAGGGCCTTCTTAGCACTAAAGTTCTTCCTCCACTCCGGTAAGGACCACTTCCCAACCAGAGCTCCACGATGAACCCATGCAATCTGAAGAGATCCAGTAATCTAATCATAAGGAACATGAAAGAGTGCCTGGAGTAAGGCAACATAAGGAACCTTTGAAGGAGTTTGAGACCATGGAGAGAATGAAAGAATAGAGAGTCATCAGGACAGGAGAGAGACAGAGAGAGACTCTTGGGTCCATGTGTAGTACAGCACGAGAATGCAAGCTGACAATTTAACTTGCTGGGGACAGGTTATTGCCTTCCAGCTCTGCAGATTTCAGGTGAACCATCTTACTCTGTAGGAAGGATGCTTTGAATGACAACACTGTACCACTTCCTCACTCAACAGGAAGTTTACCTCTGCCTGCAAACCCCTTTCTGCCTTTCACAAAGAGGGCACCAAGGGGGCAGGGGCCCCCAAGCTTCCCATCCCAACCCCATCAGAACCTGTCAAGCAAAATACCAATGCAAGCCCCTCCTACTGCTCTCAGAAGCAGTTGCCTTTTCTGTCACCTCCTGACAGTCAAGTCATTTCCAACATGACCCAGGATTTTATTCTGTACTTCCCTTGCTTTCTTTATTTCATACACATGCAGATAGCCTAACTGTGGCTGCAATCTGGGGATACCTGGCCTCCTCAAACCAGGATCCCTCAGCTTGCCTCACCTATGGCAGACCTAAATCACGCTCCTTCCCCCTCTGCTTCCAGCCCCCTATCACTCATCACCTCCTCCAAGTGCACTCACTGCCCATTCAACTGCATGCCCTTAAATGTCATTCCAGGTTTGCTACTGTAACTAATTTTCCCCATGAAGTGCCAAATGCCACCCAGCTATCGCAGTGCTTCCCCACCCCCCTCTGCCTTCTCCCCTGGAGAGTCTCTTTATGGCCAGTGAAGAAATATGATCCACCCTTTTTTCCTCTCATACAGATCTCTCCCCTGTCCTTGCTAGAAGAACAAACCCATTCTCTCATCCCTAGAAGGGAGCTTGTTTTTAAAGAAACCTGCTAAAGAACCTTAAAAAAAAAAAAAAAAAAAAACCTAGAAAAGAAATCTACTTACTCAACATTTGAAAAGCATCAAATTAATCAGAGCTGCCTACATTTCCACTCCCCTTTACAAGTGTGCTTGCTTCCCTGACAGAAAGCAGCAGAGGAAAGCAACAGAGCAGGCTGGAAAGGGTTATTGCCTGCGTATACCTCCGGGATATCATAAGGAAAAAAGCCAGAAAGATCTAACACATAGGTGGGCAAACCACCTTCCTACTGTTTGCCAGGGCACAGGAATCTTAGGGCTGGAAATGGATTGGGAGCAGCAAAATGAAAAACGAAGATGGTGCAGGAAAATAAGTAACAACCCCATGCAAAAACAAATCAGATCACATCACATTTCAAGAGCAGCACAAAGAGGAGCCCAGATCCGGGGCGACTGCCCTTCCCCCAGCTCTGCCTTTCTGCAAATTGCCTCTCAACTGAAGGCTGCCTTTGCTGGAGGCCATCACCATCTCCCCACCACACCGCATCCAAAACACGCCGAAAGGTTCAGCCAAGCCCACCCATCCCCTGTGCCCGGCCGCTGCTGGAGCACTAGGGCCCCCCACCCCCCAGTGCAAGGCGAGGTGCGGATGGCCCTGCCCAGCCCCGATGCCGGTGGCACCGCGAGGAGGCAGGAGCGGGGGTGGGGTTGCGGACCAGCAGGTACCTGGGCTGGCGGCGGAGAAGAGAGAGGAGGAGATGCCCGAGGCGCGGCGGGTGCAGTCTCTCAGCGGGGTGCTCCCATGCTCGGCTCTGGGCAAGCCGGGCTCCCTGCCCGCCCCTTTATCCGCTGCCCAGTGCCAGCCCCTCGCTCCGCGATTGGCTTCCCGGGGGCGTGCGCTCGGCGGGGCCGGCGGGTGCGGGGCGCGCCGCTCCCCGCCATTGGGCAAGGGGCGGGGGAGCGGGGGGGCGGGAGAGCAGCGAGAGACGAAAACTA